GGCCTTCTCCACGCCGCTCCGCCGCATATGTTGCGTTGACACCCGCCAGCCTCGATCCGTGAACCTCCGTAGTAGTAGTCCGATGCCATAACCTATAGGGCTAAGCCCAAGCCTAGTGTTGGCAGGCTCGAAATTCTAGATAAAGTGGCAACGCATGGCGCTCCGAGCCAAGGACTCGCCCTGGGTCATTCTGCGGCCTGCCCCTGCACGCATGGTCGCCGAAAGCTGCCGGCCTACCAACCGTGCAGCGGCTATCCCTGCGCGCCATTGCTGTCGATGCCGTCTCCCTCGCACACGCGCTCGCCTCGGTCAGACATACCAATCAACAGAAAATATCTCAAATTCCTACTTGATCAAAAATAAAATAAATAATAATATCACTAAGCAAAACGACCGAGGTCCGGGCCGGCTTTACGATCAACAACAGAAAAGAATCACGCGCGCCTTAAACCTGCGCGCCCACGCACTCGCTATTGTGGTCAACCACCCAGTCAACGCAATTACAAACGCTGCCGTGTTTAACGCGGTATACTTAAATTTTAAACCAAACAATTTTTTGTTACTTGCAAAAACCAGGGCGGATACCCTTGTAAGGGTATTCGCACCGACAGCCTACCGGACCATATTAAGCGACGTCCCTGTCGCTTCACCAAATCAGAAAGCTATAAATACATCCACATTCCAAATGCTGACGAAATAGGAGCCAATCCGATTAGCCGACAAACACAGGGTAGAGGTCTCCATCAAACCATGCCTTCATAACTATATGCTGCCAGGTTTCTAACCTGAGCCTCGCACCGTCCAGACATTAGGACACTGGCAGCATAAGTTCCAAACACCTTCCCAATCGTCCTCTCCCTAGTCCTAGACAACCTTCGGCTTCTCCTTGGGTGTCCCTAGTCCTGGCAAAAACTAGGGACGCGGGCTTTAACCGAGACCTTTGAAGGCACTCTCGCCTTCCTTCTCAAAATCTCTCGCAATCAAATACATATAAGTATATATGTAAACTTAATATCCACTCCGCTCTTTCTGCAATCTAGTACAGAAAGGCCAGGTCTCCATCTTGGCCTACCATAGCCTGATTGATCGGACCAGGACTACGGCCTACCACATTGTTATTTAACGGCAGTACCCTCGTTGGTTACACAACGATAGGGTTTCTCCTGATAGGCACTCAATCAGGATTTTCCCCAAAAATTTTCAACCATCATTATCCCGCGGAGTAACTTCACTGGGGCGGGCAACTCCCCTTAAACTCTTACCCCGCGGTCCCGCAACCAGGTTGGGCTGGTTAGCAGCCATCCAATGGGGTTACGCCCTAGAGGTACTAACTTCTTTTCCGTTAGCTTGGCCTTTTTTCAATATGTCTCAGAATTAGCACCAATGGTTAAACGGGTGCGTCAAAACAAAATCACAGGCCCACTGTGCGATACGCAGGGGTCCAAAGGCATTCACCAGCCCTCCTTCAATAGGCATGGCCTCCTTCGCACGCTTACAAGCAAAATCACCGCTAAATCCACCAGGCCGTGACCCCTGACTTGATCAGAGCCAGCAGCCACCCACCCTAAGACATCTCTCGCCCTGTACTCATTGCGACTTTCTCAAACATTTCAAACAAAAAGTGACCCCTTTCCGTCAGACTTTATCACCCATTGAACAACCCATCATGCCATAAATCAATTTACTCACTTCTGAGGATAAGTCTTTCAGTAAAAAACCACTCCCCTTTTCCAACAATCCAAAAGGGGCTCTCTTCATAACCAAAACACCTCCTCTTCCAAAAATCGCGAGGGGTCTCGCCATAAAACAATACATTCCCTCTTCCAGAAATCACGAGGGTCTCATCATAAACAAAACACCCCCTCTCTCAAAATCACGAGGGGTTTCGTTACATCACAAAATATCACAAAACATCCCCTCTTTTCCAAAATCTAAGGGGGTCCCATCATAAAACAGAACATCACTTAGAGACCATCTTATGGGTCCTCACCACAACTTAGATAACTTTCACAGACGGACTGCGCTTCCTCCCCTTATACTCTGCCTTATCAGCTGCCGTGGGTAGGTCGCACAAGTATACCGAGGNTTAGATAACTTTCACAGACGGACTGCGCTTCCTCCCCTTATACTCTGCCTTATCAGCTGCCGTGGGTAGGTCGCACAAGTATACCGAGGAGTAGACAGTTTTACTTACAATCATATTCACAATACCCAAGATACATAAAAGGTTTTTCACACATTGTCCACACAAACTCATCATACATCAGAGTACAACCACACATGTGAGAGAGACAAGTGATCGTCACATATAAGAATGGTCCCTGAAGGAAACCTGATCATAATATACACTCAGGGAGTACAATGTCTCACACAGAAAGTGTCTCCAAATCATAGCTTGCTCAACTCAAGTCACACCAAACCCACACTGACAACTACCCCTAAAATACATGTCAGATCTGTCTCTCAAAGGCCAGGGCGTAGGCCACCTAAATATGTACATGCCTCATCTAAACCACCCTGAACCTCAAAACCTCAACTTAGTAGAAACACTAGAGTTCAGATCTAGATTAACAGTAATCATCAAAATGTCTTCTAAGTTAAAAAGGGTATCACATAGAACCTAAGTTGATACCTCACAAAATGCTCGCTCACTTATATAGACAAAACCGAGCCCTACCTCCTCAACTCCTCCTGGTTTTGCCTATATAACTGAGCCCTAAGTCCACCTGCGGACTTCTCTACTATCCTACCCTGTCTATCATACATTTTACCCCCTACCTCTGAGATCTTCCCTGCTGCCTTATCCTCAAGAAACTCGAGACAGTCCAAAGCCAGATGCACGTCCCTTTTGCAGTAAAAACATAGAGATTTACCTTTCTCTTGAACTTCCTCTTCCTGGGCTGAGGAGGTGGCGATGAAGGGGATCCCACCAAGGTACTGACGACCCCCTGCTGCTCTGCTTGAGGAGCTGCGGTACTAGCGACCTCCTGCTGCTCTATCCCAGGAACCGGTCCACCAGACCCAGATCCAGTAGCCCAAGATCCTAGCCTGCCTCTCAAATCCTCTGTCGCTGGAACGTACTCGGGCGTGTCCAACCTCTGAGGCCTCCTCTCGAGTGTCGCCCCTGGCACTGCCGTGGGCCGCTCCTCAATCTCCTCTGGTTCATACTCAGGTGTGCCTATCCTCTGGAGTCTACCCTCGATGGCACCCTCCTCCTCAATCCCCATCTCTCTCTCAAGAGGCTCTTCTATCCTCTGCTCACGTGAAAACAAACTCACCTCCTCCCGCATAGTATGCACCATCTCAAGGAGCACGCCCATGGATCCCTCTGCCGAGCCCTGAGACGGCTCACTGCTAGATGGTGACAGCCCCTCCTCTACTGCCAAAGGTACGACTGGGCCTGCTTGGCCATTCCATTGCCTCCCTCTTCCGCCGCCATTCCTGCCTCGCCCCTTCCCTCCACCCCTCCCTCTGCTGCCTTGATTGCCCTGCCCCTGGTTCCCACCCCCTACAACACTGCCCTGTGAACTGGGATCAGGTGACGGTGGCGGGGCCACAGGTTGGGCGTGGGCCGCGGGGTAGATGGGTGGTGGCATACTCGTTTGCGGTCCGGCTACTGGCGGCGTACTTCCCCATGGCACAATTGCGTTGATCACTGGCCAGGGCCACTGTCCATAGGAGGGAGCCCCACCTTGCGAGGGGCCCGTACAAGATGATGGAGCCGCCACATTTAAAGGGGCTGCTGCCTGGGTTAGAGGTGCCTGCGCTTTTCCTGATCCTTGTCCGCCCTGCGCCAAATTACACACTTTGCGCTGGACCTTCGTCAGGTGCTGCGGCACCGGCTCTTCCTCTTCCCCGAGCTCCTCCTGGCCTCCTCTATCACTGGCTCTTTTCCTTTTACTTTGACAGCCGTCACCACCCTTCTTTGCACCACTGGCTCTGTCGCATACCCTAGCTGTGCCAATACGTATGTAACAATCCTTGTTACTCCCGGGGTCCCATAAGCGGTCGCATCCCTTTCCTTTCTCTTCTGTCTTTGCAGGCGTACCCGACGCTGTTCCACCTGGTCCAAACACCCAACTTCCACCCCTCTGTCAATGGTGGCCCAAGTGAGCTTAGTGCTACCTCCTCCATGTCTCGTCAACTCGACGGCCTCCGATGCTGTGAGTAGCCTCAGGAAGATGGCGCACTGTGCTTCCTCCGAAATCCCATGGACCTTCCGCGCCCTCTTCTTAAATTCTTGAACAAAGGCCCCTATAGTCGTAAAATCCTCTTTGTTCATCGCTTCAAGGTCCGTGGTAGTCAACAACCCGTCTCCCAGGCGGTATTTCCTCTGCATCCCCTCCTTGAACCTTTCCCAGCTACCTTGAGCCGCATCTATGACTTTCTTCACCTCTTGATGGTAGCTGTGGAGGACATACTGAAGGATGCGTTGAAACTTTACAACATCCGGTCGCCCGACCAAAGCTTGTTCCACCCGCTCTAGCCATTCTGAGACTCTCTCCCCACAGAAATGGAAAGTATCGAGCTTTGGGATGTTGCTCGGGTTCCTTTCATGTCGGTCGATGGCCGCGATGAGGTCATCGAGTGTCAGGCCCTTCTTGGGAACAACTGATGTGCCGCCAGTCTCAGGCATCTTGACAACCTTTTCTTTTTAAGTTCCCTGACAAAAGAAAACAAGCACACCCCCTTATTTAACATTATACCTTGACTGGTCTATTCCATTCGTCCTACCTAACCCTTAGTACTTACTTTATCCACTGTTAACACGATCGTCCCTCATACTTCCTCTACTTGGGTAGGTAAATTTTCTCTCCTACATTTAGTTATTCATATATTCCTTCATTACCTTCTCATCACTCTTTTATGCCTTTTCTTATTCACTTCTCATACCCGGATGTCGTTCCACCAGGGACAACGGTAGGCTTTCCGTTATCCCCGGCAACGGCGCCACCTGTCGGGCGCATCGGTATGGCACCGCACGGGGGCAGCGCGGGACCCTCCCGGCCGCGTCACGCAGGAGTTGGTTTTCATAACCCTTCGTCGCAATATACATGGAGCTTCCGCAAGCCGCT